GATTCTGGGAAGGCCTTGTTGTTTCTAAAGAAAACTTAGTTTAGCCAAAACATTCTTACACTTTAATTCAACTCAAACAGCAACAGAATTTAAAAAAAAATAAATATGCTTATTAAAGTAAAATACAGAAAATATGCTCCAAATGTGATGTGTTAAGTAAAAATTGTGCTGACGTGTAAAAATAAGGTAGTTGCTATACTTTGCCTATAAGATGCATTGGTTTAATTGGCAGCTGCAGAACAAATGCAGCTTGAGAGCCCCGTCCATCTCACCCATTTGCCTTTTCTAGGTGCCTCTGTTGAGGAAATTTATTGAATAATTTTTTACCATGTTTTATCAATCTTTGACTTTTCATCTTACTTAAAAATATCTGGAAAACTAATTTTGTTCAAACTTAACTTGGTAGCTGGAAGTATATTGGGATTTTCCATGCGGAGTTATTTCTCTAACCTCTGTAGTGGATCTGTACACTTAATATTCTTTTACTAACTCACCATTACTTCACTGTGACTGACTCACGACATGACATTTTCCTTTCATAAAGGCACTTATTTTCACACAGTTCATGACAGAGAGTGAGTTATTGTATTGTTCAGGTTAATATTTATTATATTGCAGGTGAATCATCTTAAGATGGCCAAATTCCAGCTATTTGCTTTGTTTTCAAAGTTGAGAAAGGCTACAAAGACCTTCTGGTCAGTTTTAACCAAGTGAGACCCTGAATCATTAAAGACAATAATTCTGGAAACAGGGAAACTACAGAGGAGCAGAAAATTGATCAGGCATTTACCTTATGTCTGATAATACACATATTAGCTGCTGTCATGGAAATGAGAGCACGTTTTTGAAGACTGTCCTCAGGAGATATGCAATGGTATCAGCTTTTTCCCAAGTGCCTCTTCGTCTGCTTGAGCAGCACTAGACACTTAATCTAAGGTCGGAAAGTCTTGAACAGAAGAGCAAATTTTACTTGAATTGTATCTGCACTCTGATTCTTTTAAAGGTGGATTGGGGTTTTTTTTTGGTGGTAATACTGTAATAAGATGTTGTAGTTCTAATAAGGAAATCGCCTATTTGAAAAAGTTGAGTGAAACTTAAAAACTAGAACACCAAAACGTACCTTAGCCGTTAAATTAGCTATAGCTGAAGGGAATGGAGAAAGAGGAGTGACTGATTTACGCCCAGATAACTGAGTTAGTAAATGGTAAGGAGCAGTGCATTTTTTCCTGTGTAAGATTCGTAATTTACTGTTACATACTTAAAAGTTTTATAGAAAGTTTTGATATAGGCTGGAAGATGTTTTTCGCAATAATAATAATAGTGGGTTCTTTTTACTTGTAGCCTAGCCTTGACATACACTATGTTTGCATCTTCTTACATTTTTCTAGTTCTGAGTGTTACAAAAATTTTTTGTAGGTTTTAGGGTTTTTTTTATAAATTCACCTGAGAATGTGAAGTATTCGCTAACATTCAGGAGCTGGAGCATGTTGTGAGCTAGAATCAAGAAAGCTGGCAAGATCGAAAAACACAGTAAAAGGGAACTATTTTAATAAGATTATCTTTAAAGTAGTGGAGAAATGGATTTTTTAATTTTCTGATTGCAGTGATGTAGCTTAAACTAGGATTACAAAAGCTACTTGTATAAACCATCAAACATAACTTCTAACTGGAAATACTGACCGTGAAAGTGGGTGCAAGTTCGTTGTTTACAGAACTTCACTCCATTGCACCACTGCATCAGCTACCTTTGATTTAAATTATCTTTCACTATTTTTTTTCCGAGTTGTAGGGGAGGCTGTATAGAATTGTTAAACAGGATAAACAGGAAGACAAGAGCTGCAAAACATCTTTAAAAGGAGAGCTGTAAGCTGAACTGTAGAAAATTAATTAACGCTCTTCAGATACTTGAAATACAAGCTTTAATGTATGTCCTATTGAGATTTTGCCATAGAATTTTAGCCCAAGCAGAAGTATTGATCAGAGTTTGTATCCTGAAATACTCCATATCTCTAGTGCAAAACATTACTGAAGGTCACAGTAAACAACACCATTTTAGTTAAGAAGCTGATCCCAGGATGAAAGATAGATGAAGTCAGCTACAGACTGTATGAGGAATTTCTCATGAGGAATTAAGGGTAAAGCTTTTCATAATCTTTCATGCTTTGGCTGAAAATACTAGCACCATAAAAATTCTTCGGGGGGCAGAGTTGAGGTGGTAGCTGCAGAGTGATCAAAACATGAGAGGCACATTTTGCCATTTTATGGGGAGGCCTCTTTCTGACCTGTCACATGATGGATTTGAAATGAAAGTTTAATGGACTCTCAGTTTCTCAGACAGCCATCTTTCTACAACTTCATTATTAACAACAATTTATTCTTAGCCAGCTCTCTTTTTTCCTGAGCTCTTGATAATTCATTTATTTTGTTTGTTTAGCAGCAATATAAGAAAAAATACTGAGATCATAAAATTAAGAAAATGTTCCATATTAAAAAACAATGTTAAACTAGTCTCCAATAAATTTTGCAGAAGCATTTACTCCACAGTTGTTTGAATTAAAAATGTAACACGTGTAAATAGCACGTAAATAGTGTGAATGGATTTCATATTTAACCTGTATGGAATAGTACGTGAGCTGTAATTTTTCCTCCCAGAACTATATGAGCAATTTTCATGGCTGATGTTGTATAGAATATTTTTCAACTAATGTTCATGACATAGAGGCTGTTTGGATAATGTGTCAGAAAATGAGACCTGGGAAGCAAGTGGATGTATGATAGCTCTTGGGAAAATAAACATGTAGCATTATGTAAATTAAAATTTCAAAATGTGTGAATACATTTTTACAGGGTCTGATCCAGAGCCATTAATGTAATTTAAATTTTTTACTTCAGTTGCAAGCCAAGCATACCAGCTTCTTGATTATGCCAGCTATTTTAGTTCTCATTTGGGAATGATACAGACTAACTTTGCTTTCCTTCAGAAGTCCAAAAAGGTGGGAAATTCTCCACCGTGACTCATGTCTTCTGAGTTTGTGTGGGTGCAGCTCTGTCTAGCCACTCAAATTCACTGAGTATTTTGCATAGGGAGAAGTAAAAGCCTGAAACTTCACCCATCAAGGCTCTTTACAGGGACAAGCGGTCCGGGGGCAGTCCTGTGTATTTCCTCGAAAGTAAAGACTGTCAACGATATGGGCTTCTTTCTCATAGGTTCTGAACTGGTGGTAGCCAACTGCTTTAATCCTTAACCTTCCTACATCTTACATTTTGTCCAGAACAATGAAAAAAATTTTTTTCTTTACAGTGTAAACAGAAGGGAATGCAATAATACAAAGTCTTCTAAATTAATTTATCTACTTTTATACCCATTCTATTCAGTTACTGCCCTATTTCCCTTTTAATGAAAAATAGATTCGATCCTATTAAAAATTTTTCTTGCACAAACTGGGATACTAATAATAAAGACTAAACTAATTTATATTTTAAATTTACAGGTTGCACATGTGTTCTCATATCATTTGTTACCCCACTGTGAAAAAGTAGGTTTCGGAGTTCTTACCCTCTCTAGAGATGTGACTGTATCGGCTTAGTGCAGGGATGATTAATAAAGCCCATACAACTGCAATTCAAATATATTATTAGGAGTTAGATAATATATTAGTATTGCATGCCTCTGATTCTGCGTGTATTATAATGCAAAGTAATGCAAGCTGACTTGAAATCACAAACATAACTTAAAATTTTAGTTGGTTGATACTTGCATACAGGCATGTAGGCCTTTCAAGTTTTTCCCAGCAGCATAAATAGTTGTATAGAATGCTGAGAGTATTTTAACTGAGTATTGCAGTTGTGACAGGACGAAGAAGAAACAGTCTCTGGAATAACTGGGTCCTCACCCCTAAATTTTTATAAGTTCAAAGCTTGTACCTTGAATTTGCATTAAAAGTAAGTTGCCAAGCAATATATAGCCAAGGATATTGGTAGATTTTGTTGTCTGTTTTAAAGTCTCTATTTAAAAACAAATTCTTTTGTAATAAAATTTAAAATCTTTGAGTAGAGCCTTTAGAGAAGGGGTCACGTCTTTCCTGTGTACTTAATGTCTGATGTGATTTCAACCTCAAGATATTAATATATTTTAAAATATATAACTGTAACATTGCATAAAATTATGCACATGTATGTGGCAGGAGTTTCTGACCTTAAGGACTTAAAATTTTAGTCACAGAAACAGATAAAGGAAGTAGGAACAAGAAGGAACAGAGGCACCTAGAAATCAGTGACTTGCCCATGATGACAAACGGAATACACGGCACAACTGGATATTAAATCCATATTTTATCCTTCCCTCGCTAGTGTCTGATTTGCAAAGTCACTTTTCTTTACGCAAGAGATCCTACTGGCATTTTCAGAGCGCTCATCATTCCAAACAGTGCTGCAGGTCAGGGCTCTGCAGATGTTCTGGCAAAAAAAATTGTGTTCTGAAAAGGAAATGAAGGGAGTAGCCAAATAGCTTCATGAAGAATAACTGGAATATTTGGCAACCCAAATTGTTTGGTGCTTCTGCATTGTGTAATGTCCTGATTTTCTGTACCTGCCTCTGCGTTTTGTTCTGTCTAAATCACAAAATAGTCAATTCAATGGGAAGGAAGTGGAGGAAAACCACTGCCTTGGCATCCACATGTGTTCAGTGTATGCCGCTGGCTGGCTGAGAGTCACATGGCAATCTGTGGGAAACTGTTGAAAAAGATTTCCAAGCTATCTTTGATTTCTCTTTCTTTTCTTGCAGCATAAACTCACCAAGTGTTTGGACAAAGTTTTCTAAACTTATTTTTGCACAACTACTAATCGAACTCTCTTCTTTTCAACAGCTGCACAGCTTTGTCCCCTGGCATCAGAGAACACCTAACAGTGTAATGCACCTTTGGGAATTTGATTGGGCACCAGTATGTGACAGTGATTTCCTCTGATCAGAGTCCTTGTGTTTCTGTCCTCATCCTCTACAGCGTTGCGCAGTCGATCAGGACGGTCCATCATCAATGGAAACTGGGCAATTGATCGACCTGGGAGATATGAAGGTGGTGGGACAATGTTCACTTATAAACGCCCAAATGAAATCTCCAGCACTGCAGGAGAGTCGTTTTTAGCTGATGGTCCAACAAATGAAGTCCTTGATGTCTATGTAAGTTTCTTGAATTTAGATTAATCTTCCTGACGGAAAAAAATTGTTCAGTTCATTGTTAACATGCAACACTAAAATTGCATTCAGTACCAATACATTGTTACTTTTTGTTCCTTTAATTTTGAAACATTATTTTTTATATTTTACTATTGCTTGTTGTTGCTCCTATCTTGCTCCAGATCATAGGAAATCTAAATAACAATGAAGCCTTTTTTCTGTCAGACTTTAATGATCCAGTAAAACCCATTTTACTTGTTCAGTAAAATAGGGATAAAGCATACAAATGTCCGGGGTTTTTTTGTGAACTGGATTTTTTCCAGATGTTTTCCTACTCAAGCAAACCTGGCATAGTTCAATTTTACAGTGAACTGAAGCAAATACCTAAATCAGACAAGGCCTCTCAGAGTGATACCATCTCAGTTTTCTTTGAAAGAAACAAGTCCAAAAAACTGTAGAATGGGGGATCTAAGGCACAGCAGTTTTAATACGAAGCTGTGCTAGGAGACCATACATAATAGCCATTTGAGAAAGGAAGAGAAAAGACGAATTTTGGCTAAGAGCGGGGAATCATATTGAAAAAGCTGTTTACTTCAGATGGGACAGGTTTTTACTGTATCATATTGAAATAAAAAAATATAACTGGAATTGATTACAACTTATTCAAAGATAAATGGTGTGTTCTGAGATGATACAATTTCACATGGTAAAATCCATTCATTGAAAAAACTAGATTAACTAGTGATATGGTTGTTTCATCCAGCTATGGCTTTTTTGCCCTTAAGTGCAATACGGGGTGGGGTGGAAAAGTGAGTGTGCTGGGTTATTTCATAGAAAAGTGAATAGTAAATGCCCTGATTACTCAGCTGAGAAAAGTTATTCCCCAGCTGCTATATAGTGTCTTAATAAAGCTATGTAATAACTGCAAACATTACTCCTTTTTGGATAATTTCTGATTGATTGCCATGTAACACTGGCAAAAACCGGGAAGATTAAATGATTGGGCTCCAAGATTCTGCAGTGCAGGCTCCATGTTTTTAAAATATATCTAGTGTTGTGTAGTTAAAGGATGCTGTGAGCTGAGGTTTGGTCTTAAGTTTTTATTGTCAGCAGATTGATGCCTAATAACGTAATGACCCAGGGAGAAAAGGATTAGGAAATGGATTAAACAGATATTTCCAAAGTAATGCCATAAAAAAACCCTTAAGCTTAAATTTATCATATTTTAATATTTTAGTTTAGGCTTAGTCTCTTCTTTTTATGCTTTTGCAATGAATATAAGAAAGCTGGCATGATGGGCATAGCTTTGTCAGTTTTGCTCTGTGGCTGCTACTATGGATTGCCACATCTAATTTGACTGGACTCTTATCTGAGATGTTTCTTGTAGATATGAAGAATACTACAATTCATTATAAGCTGATAGTTTAGTGTCTTTTTCAATCTAGTGTGGGAAGGTAAAAACGGATAGTGCTAGAGGAAAGAAAATCAGTCATCAGTATGATACAGCCTCTCTTATGGGTTTGAAATTTATAGCCATGCAGATACAGATGTCTTTTTTCAGTCTTGCAGTTCCTGAGTCATGTAATTCTCTTTTCATCCATACTCATGATCTATATGTTCTGTGCAGAAGAATGGAGAGATTTGCAGGTGGGAACTCCAAATTACTCTTTTCCTTTTTCCTGAGAACATGCTGTCTGTCTTGCACTCTAAAAATGTAGAGGAAAAAGCTCTGTAAGTTACAGCAGGTTTGTCCAAATATGAAGTATACATTGCTACAAAGACTTAGGTCCACCAACTCAAAGCAAAACTGTTGTATAATTCCAGGTATTTTCCTGCAGGAAAACTGTGACAGTATATTCATAGGGACTTCATCAGTTCAGCTCTTTATAACATGTGCCAATCAGTTGTTTTGAGAAACGTGATGGAAAAACCATGGGAACCGTTGGAAAGCTGTTCCTGGAACTATCTTAAGAACAGGGACCTGGTTCTGGAAGGTGGGGGTTATTCTTCCACTGAAGTCAGCTTCACAGCGCTCGGTTCTCTCAGGACCCAACACAAAGAGGGTGTATTTTTTGGATGACAAAGTGACATGGGAAGGACCAACGCTTACAAAAAATATTACAGGCAATGCATTATTAGATGGTTCAGAAAAGTGAGTGATCTCTGAGGGACAGAGTTTAGAGGAGCCACTATTATATTTGGCAAGGAAAAAGTGATTTTGACACAAGGAAAACAAAAGTCTGAATCCTTAGTTGGTGTTAATTGGTGTGACAAATTTAGTGAAACCTTGTAGCGTAAGTGTGTTCTGCTGGGTCGTAAAGCTATTGGCGTAGCATGATTTTTTTCAGCTCATGATTTGCCAGAACCAAAGAGCTAGTGCAAGCTCTGGTGTTTCTTTCATTTTGTTTTCTTTTTCTTAAAGAAAAGGTCCTTTAAGTTTAAGTGTAATCTGAGGCTTCTACCAGACCAATCCCCACAAAGAGTTCAGGACGTTTAAAGCAGCAGCGTCAGTAGAAGCAGTGCTGAAGTAATCAAAGCTAAACTGGTGAAATGAGGACCTGATGGCAGCCCTGCGTTTCTAGTGTTGAGTATGCTCAAGTTGTCAGCAGCAGCAACATAATACAAGCCAGTTGGGTATGGAGTGTGCTGCTAACAGTTTTAAAAAGCTTTCAGAGTCATATCTTGCTCAGGTCTTATTATGCCTAACTGCTTAAACAAGCACACAAGAAGTGACACTGGCTTTCAGAGGCGTGCTCGTGTCAGCTCACATGGGCTTGTGCAGCAGTGTTCTGAAACCACTCAGCTTCTTTTTCACTTTTGAAGGAGAAAACCTTATGGTTCCCGCCTGTGTTTCATAAAGAACACTTCAATAGAGTTGTTGTGGCTAGCTGTAAAGCAGTGGGAGTCTGTCTGCACTTACATTACATCTTCATTCAGTTGAAAATTAACATGGAAGGATGCAGGAGGGTTGCACGGGTGCTGTTCAGCTGCTGTAACAAGTATGTGGGCCTTTGTAATCTGTTCACTTGATCTTTATTGCGCAACGATTATGGTGAGAGCAGCATAATGTTAGTAATTTTACCTAGTTGATTGTTTAGTCTCCATTGGGTGGTGCAGAGGTAGCTGCATGGTGATGAAAGGAACAGTTTGATTTGTGAAATGGTACACACGGAATACCACGTATGTGCTGTCTGCATGTGCTCCATTCAAGTATAACTGATAAACCTTGAAAAAGGCAGTTGGCTAGATTTGTAGATTGGGGGTTGTGGTATTTATTTTTCTCTGCTTTGTTTCTTCCTTGCTTATGTTTCCTCAGGCATCTGTCAAGCTCCTTCTATCTGAGAATGTTTTGGTGACCTTAGGACCATCTCTTCTGCTGCTGAGGCCTGGTGTGAACCTCTGCTGCCCACGCTGGCAAGAAGCGAGGCCATGGCTGGTACAGCCCACAGCCACACCTTGGCCCCGAGCATGTCAGTTTTACATTTTTCAAAGAAGATTTAGAGAAACAGGTTCTCTACCATCACAAGCTAGCTCAGTTTGCAAACATAGCAACCTGTATTTTCGTATTTTTTTCCAGAAACAAATAGCTTTTTTTTTTTTCATTTTTTGGAGACAGTCATTAACCATTGTTTCTATCCTGACCAATGATAAATAATCTTATGTAGTTGATGAGTTCAAGTACATATTTAAGTATTAGTAATATAACAAGTGGAAGAACTGAATATATGGCTGTTTTTCTTTTTAGATGATACATCAGCAGCCTAACCCAGGTATACATTATGAGTATATCATTCCAGGAGACAATGTCATTAGTCCTCAGTTGCTTGCTCACAGGAGGCCAGGTAAAATGCCACTGTTTCCTATTATTAAACACATTTTCTTACCCCATAAGCTAATAGAGAAATTTATACCATTAAATTCAGTGTAAATCCTGCTATTGATGTGGGAAAGGCCCAGAATTTCACTCTACATGTTGAAAGAGAAGTCTGCTTAGATTTGGTAACTTCAGTGAATTAATACTGGCAAGGATTACTTATCCTGTAGCAGGGAATCTGGTCACATATTTCTACTTTCAGGAACAATTTTGTTGTTAAAATGTTAACCATGGCTTTGCAGGAGCTGGAGTGTTGTAACCATGTCTCAGAAATGAAATAGAACACAATTTTTCTCTTCAGAGTTTGAGATAATTTAAAACAACTCTTTGCAGTTTCTTTTTCCTCTCCCAACTGGAGAGGCTCAAACACAAAACTGTTGCCTTCCCAAGCCAGAATCTGGACAGTTTGTGCTCCTGACTGAGCTTTGGGTATGTGCTGTGTGTACTGATAGGAAGTACTGACAGTAGAAAATTTGCAAGTGAGTTTGGTCCTACTTTTAATGTTCATGACTTGCCTTGACAATTTCTAAGTGTGTTTGCAGTCTGTTCATAACGAGGAGCAGCTGTGCTGTGACATGGGGAGGCACAGAACACAAAGCAGGGGACAAAAAAAAAAGCTTTGGGAAATTTTGACACTGGGTGCATTAACATTGTGGTGTGTTTGGAGAGTCTTCAGTTTTTAATGTATTTGCTGGCTGAGACTTGGTTATCTTAGTTTAAAACAACACAATCTTTGCAGGATGCTATTAGGAGGTCTCTGCGTAGCAAATTAAAGCTGCTTTCAAGTTTAATGATGCTCCAGTTGTGATTATTAGTGGATGAAAACATAGGCTGATATTTGCAAGTGAGGCTCATTATATTACTTTTTTGTTATTGTCCATCTCAGGGGAGCCCGTGAATGGTCAGTTAGGAATGCCAGAAAGTACAAATCATGAGGATGAAGATTTGCATAGGGAGACAGACACTCTCACTGGACAGTCAGCTGGAACTTTTCCAGTTATTCAGCCAGGAAGATTTCCTTCTCATCAGCCAGAAAACCAGGTGCCTGCTGTGCAACCACCAAGACAGAACCGAGAACACAACTGGAAACAGATTGGAAAAACTGAGTGCACCACTACATGTGGGAAAGGTAAGTGCCTTATACACCATGCACAGAAAATAGGTGACACACGGGAGGGTTCCAGCATGGGAGAGGAGAAACGTGGAGGGAAGAAGCAGCGTGACTATTCAGCAGCTCTTGTATGCACAAAGCATTGCTGGACCTCGTGTTTTCTGATATCTTACAAGCAAAAGACGTGTCAATACTATTCTATGTGCTTATATTTAAATGACTAGAAACAACAAAATTAAAAATATGAAATACAAAATATGTAAATTAAAAGGAATATATGGCATTTGCCTCTGAAGGGAAATATTTCAGGATTTTATGGCAAGCTGCTCTTTCTCACACCCTTGATACGCAGCTGTTTTCCTCAACATTCTTTGGCATTCTTTATCCTTCCATTTGGCCTCTCCAGCTTTGTCAGATCACGGAATCAATTTGGTTGGGAGAGACCTCTGGGATCATCAAGTCCAACCTTTACCCTAATACCACCATGTCAGCTAGACCATGGCACTAAGTGCCACATCCAGTCTTTTCTTAAACACCTCCAGGGATGGTGACTCCATCACCTCCCTGGGCAGCCCACTCCAATGCCTAACAACCCTTACTGTGAAGAAATACCTCCTCATTTCTAGCCTGAACTTCCCCTGGTGCAGTTTCAGACTATGCCCTCTTGTCCTGTCACTAGTTGCCTGGGAGAAGAGGCCAACCCCAACTTGGCTGCAGCCTCCTTTCAGGTCGTTGTAGAGAGCGATCAGGTCTCCCCTCAACCTCCTCTTTTCCAGGCTAAACAACCCCAGCTCCCTCAGCCGCTCCTCATAAGACTTACCCTCAAGACTCTTCACCACCTTCGTTACCCTTCTTTGGACCCGCTCCAGTACATCAATGTCTTTCTTGAAGCGAGGGGCCGAGAACTGGACATAGTACTCGAGGTGCGGCCTCAGTGCTTTTTGTGTCTTTGTCAACAGTTTTCTGATCTTTACCGGAAGGTTTCACAGGGATTCCATCAGCCATATCTTTGCCTCATTGGATGTTGCTGGAACAGCAGTAATGTGACTTCAGAAAACTGAGGTTTTCATAGGGGAGAAGTGAGAAGAAAGAGGGTCACAAAGATACTGGTAATCAGTGAGCTTTTGGGATGTGATTGGATACATTACTTTGAGCTCGCCAGATTAATCTTTGCCATAATACATTCACAGTGACCACAGATTCAATAGTGCATAGCACAAGCAATTACTTGGAAGAATAAGTTTTTGTCATAGTAAAAGTGAAATCTTTTGTACTATACATAGCCACCCATCACCATACCTAAAAAATTGCTTTGAAATAAAGAGGTACCAGTGAGGGAACTCAGCTGGTTGTCAACAGTTCATACACTTTGAGAAGATTTTCTTCCTAATTAGTTTGAGGGGACACCTTTACATCATAGAAGTCTTGGTTGTGTTTCCTATGGACCTTATGGACATTTGAACATAGTTCTTGCCATTTCTTCAGAGATATTGTAGCTATTCACAGTGGTAGTAATGAAATCTGAGTCAAAACGATGATAGCAAAACTGTAGGAAAACAGAATTCAAAGGATATCTTTCAGCCTCTTATACAGCTTAAATTTACTCCATGAAATTTAGCAAGAAAACTGACAAAAAATGAGTATCTCTCTTCTGGTTATTTGGAGAATGTGTGCGTGTTCTGATTGAGTTAAATTCAAAAGAAACTGGACCTTGAGAGCAGGATCCTGACCCTGTCGAGACTGTATGAACATTCCTTTTGATCTTGGTGTGAGAAGCCTTTGTGAATATCTGATGCCTCTAAGGCATTTCAAGTCAAACTAAGTTGTATGGGCTGATAAAAAATGGAGTGAAAAAATCAGAAAGAAATCTTGTACTATTTGAGGCTTTGTTTTCATTTTGTATGATTCAATATAGAACACTTTTTTCTTTTGTCTATGTTTTCCTTTTTTCTGCTAATTTATTTCTTCATGTGGAAATGTAGATGATACATAGTCTTTATTTATTTTTTTTTTCCCAAAATGAACCTGTCAAAGCTAAATAACATTAGGAAATTTTAAGTTGGAAGAAGAAAGAAAAATTGGGTTTGTGCTAGCTAAGGAAAAAGGGACGATACATTACCAGTTTTGATGAAAAGTTGTGAGATTTCAAGGCACGTTTCAGTAAAACTTTGGCTTGGAAAAAAAAGATTTTGATTTTTTTTTTTTTTTAAGTGAAAATGCTTCCCATGAGAACTGCCATTAGCTCTTGTCACAGATGTCCGTTTAAGATGACTGAACAAATGGATCTGCTAGAATTTGGACAGTGTGGAAAATGCTACTGCATCCTGTCAAGGAAGTGAAATAGCAGATCATCCTTCTCTGTTGAGAGAGAGGGATGGGGCACTGTAAAATTCCTCCAGTCCTGGAGCCACAGGAACTTTGTCCAAATTTTATCTGAAAGATATTACAGGAGGAGTACCTCACTTTATCTTCTCTGAGCACAGCCTGGGCCTTAAAACTGTTATCTACACCTTGGAAATGACTGGGGATGTATGATTTGTTATCAGTCATGGCAGCATGTTTGTTACTTTTTTAAAGAATAGAAAGGAGGTTAAAGAGTGCAAACTGCTGATTTTTCCTTAGATTTCAGAAAATATAATAGCTTTTTCTGAAGTATTAGTGTAAGTTAGCTGGCGAGATACAAAGCCTGACTTTTAATAGAATTAAATTCTTGAACAAATATAATTTCAGAGGGAACTGTAATTTTAAATTTTCTATCCTGAAATTGAAGTGTACCAGCCAACAGTTACCATCAACTATGGCCACCCTTATTTAATTTAAAGTTGAAGTTATAATTTAAAATTACTACAGATGTCTGTTGCAATATTTTTTTGAATACAGGAGAGCAGAGGGGCAGAATCCCCTCCCTCGACCTGCTGGTCACACTGCTTTGGATGCAGCCCAAGATACAATTGGCTTTCTGGGCTGCAAGCACACATTACCAGGTCATGTTGAGGTTCTCATCACCCAGCACACCCAAGTCCTTCTCCTCAGGGCTGCTCTCAATCTATTCTCCACCCAGCCTGTATTTGTGCTTGGGATTGTACCAACCTATGTGCAGGACCTTGCACTCAGCCTTGTTGAACTTCGTGAGGTTGGCATGGGCCTACCTCTCAAGCCAGTCAAGACCCTTGGGATGGCATCCCTTCCCTCCACTGCATCAACTGCACCACACAGCTTGGTGTCATCAGCAAACTTGCTGAGGGTGCACTCAATCCCACTGTCTGTGTCGCCAACAAAGGCGTTAAACAGCACCTATCCCAATACCAACCCTTGAGGAATGCCACTTGTCACCCGTCTCCACTTGGACATCCAGCCATTGACCACAACTCTTTGATTGTGCCAATTCCTTATCCACTGAGTGGTCCATCTGTCAAATACATATCTCTCCAATTTAGAGACAAGGGTCACGTGGAACAGTGTCAAATGCTTTGAACAAGTCCAGGTAGATGATGTCAGTTGCTCTTCACTTATCCACCAATGCTGTAGCCCCATCATAGAAGGCCACCAAATTTGTCAGGCACAATTTGCCCCTAGTGAAGCCATGTTGGCTGTCACCAATCACCTCCTTATTTTCCATGTGCCTTAGCATAGTTCCCAGGAGGATCAGCTCCATGATCCTGCTGGGCACAGAGGTGAGACTCACTGGCTTGTTGTTCCCTGGGTCTTCCTTTTTTTCCCCTTTTTAAAAATGGGATTATGTTTCCCCTTTTCCAGTCAGCAGGACCTTCACTGGAGTCCCACGACTTCTCAAATATGACGAATAGCAGCTTAGCCACTTCATCTGCCAGTCCACTCAGGACTCAGGGATGCATCTCATCATGTTCCATGGGCTTGTGCACCTTCAGGTTGCTTAAATGGTCTCAAACCTGAACTTCTCCCCCAGTGGGTGGTTCTTCATTCTCCCAGTCCCTGCCTTTGCCTTCTGCGACTTGGGCAGTGTGGCTGGGGGGCCTTCCCG